GAGAAGATTTATCTATTTTCATATACCTGTTAAAAAATAAAATGTTAACTGTAATTCGAGTAATCGATTTTCCTTTATTATTTGCGCAAGATATTTAAAAATTAAGTATTATGAAAAAACAATTTAAAAACAAATAGAAAAAAATCATTAGAAAAAACTTCCTCAATAAAGGATCGAACCACTAACTCTCAGCACGAGAAGCGAGCACGCTACTATTTACGTTAGCGCGCCACTTCATAAACAGTTGCATTTAAGATAATATAAACATGCATACAAAAAAATCAAAACATTAAAAGTTTTTTTTTCAAAATTAGCTTCGCATTTTGATAAAATACTTTACCACGTTAACACCCTAAAACTATACTACTAATATACCAAAGCTCGTTAAAATCCGTGAGAGCACACGTTAGGTAAATCTTTAAACCAATAAGTCTTGTTGGTATCAATATAACTAGCAAATAAGGAACTTGTTAGAATATAGGTACACACACACACACACACACACACATTTATATTACATAACTGTAGAGAGCGCTATAGAGTGAGCGTGCGAGAGAGTGTGTACCGTTAAACGCACACATGTACGGATACCATTCCAAAGATGTATGAGAGAATCGTACGACCGTCGAACTCTGCTCGAGCGAGAAAAAAAAAAAAAAAGTATACTTATAGAGAGAATTGTATATGCTTGTTTCTCTCTCTTTCTCTCTAACATTGAAATAAAATAAATTTATTATAATTAACAATAAAAAATTTATACGTACAGAGAGAGTTCAAACGGGTAGAAGTGAATACCTTTAGAAAACTAAACTTCGAAAGAATGAGACGAGTGTTTACATTTTATTTTACATACAGGAAAGATAAGACTCCAAGTTTTCAATTTCAACAAATGCAACCAGTGTCTTATGGTAAATAAAGTATGAAATAAAACCTTTTGTTCGGATTTGATCAATGTATTTTTGAAACACATCAATAACTGCTTTTGATTATGTTGTAGATTCAATGCGACGCTGCAACATCATTTTAAATTCAATTTATCTCCAGAAACTCCTTTAATGGGAGTGCTGTGGACGATGCAGAATTCCTATTAAAGTCCCCACTTTAGAAGTCATTGAATTTTTATCGTAATCTTATTTAATTTCGTAGCGACTGGTGTTAATATACTTCATTAAATTATCGTACATGACCGTCACTCACTCCCCTCTGTTAACGACGAAATATTTGTTCTTTAATCGTCAAGTTCAAACCACAACGATATTGAAGAAGATTTAAATGTAAAAGTCCTTGCAAGGGAAAAGTTTCATTATTAGGAAGATATTTATTTTTGAATTTTACATTAACATCTACTCAGAAAGCTCTGCTTCCCATAGCTCCCTTTACAGAGTAAAAGGAGTGAACGATCATCGGTGACCAGAATCTTGACGTTAAAACCAAGATTCTATATCGTCCTCACGCTCAAGGAAGAGAGCTACAACTCGTCATCGTAGTTGCACCGACTCAGCTTTACGCTAAGCAGTTTTGAAGACTAACTACAGAAATGATCCTGTGAAGTATGATCTTAAATTGTACCGATTCTTGAATCCTTTATATACACCTTAATGTACTATATTACCTTTGAGAAACGGCAAATGGTATTTTGCCATCTAGTGTCCAGTCAAAGAACTAACTGAGTTTTTTACGCAACGCACACACGTATTAAAAACGTTCAACATACACACGTGGAACGCTGGGACCAGAGCAAGTTTTATGCATTACAATATAAATATATATGGGGTATTCTACTTCAAATCGACCACTTTCGCCTCCGACCCCTTTTTAAATTCTCTCTGAGAATTTTTTCAAATTTTTTTACCCAATTCAAAAGAAGTTACAAATTTAAACAAATGGCTTTTTTTCAAATAGCTATAACTGGCTAAAATTGACTTTTCGGGACGTTTTTTTTTTTAATTTTTTGTTTGTAAATGTCCTTTTTGGATAAAGATATAAACAAATTATTTGTAGTCAAATTCTTTAATTTCTTTTAATTTTGTTTTTTTGGGCAAAAAATCTCAAATTTTTGAAACTCTGGTTTTTTTTAACTTTTTTGTTTTAAACTTTGATTCATTCTGAACTTAATTTTGAGCTTCGCCTGATGGGCCGACGTTTCATTTTTCTTTTTTCCTAATTTAAATCTTTTTTTTTTTTTATTTTCTCGCAATTTAATTTTGCTTTTATATTAAAATAACCCTAAATAAATATATAAATATATATATATATATATATAAATATGTTTAAATCTATTTTTAATGACCTTACTTTAATTATATACTATCGAAAATTATAATTACAAACAGGTTGCAATGCATTATTGGTCAATTTTTCAAGTCAGTATAATTAACATTTTATTTAGATATCTCTAGTCGCTTAAATAATTTACAAACACTATATTGTTCTGAATTAGAAATTGAATTGAATTTGAATTTCTTAGAAACAAATACCATATGCAACCATAACGGTGAAGTTCTCGCCAATTAAAAGCTACAATAAAACTGCAGATGATCTATTAGGTTGGCAACTAGTTTCAGAGTTTCAGAAATGTAAAATAAATTATTCTTTAAAAAGAAATTCTTTTCAAAATCATCTAAAATTTTCGATTTTCCTAGAGTATCACCTCCCATGAGTCCTTTTACAATTACAAAGTCAAAAACATCTAGATTCTTACTTATGTATTTCGGCCAATATGTTTGTTTTTTTCCCTATAAAACATTAGATTGTTTCGTATCATATTTAGGTAAAAAATTCACTGCTCTTACCACTATTGTAAACTTAATGATTGCATTGTTTGTTTTCGGATGTAAACCTCTAATGACTGTTTTATAACTTATTTCCATTCTTAATTAATATTCGTAATAGATTGCGTTTTTGACTTTAGAGCTTGTGTTACATTACGAAATATTTCCGAAATGATAGTTTATATTTTAACTTGATCAATTAATATTTATTTTAAAATATAATTTTCTGTAGTTGTGTCGGGGAATTAAAGGCATTGAATTAAAATTGTATTGCGCGCCAAATTGCTTTAGTAAGATGCGACAACGTCATTGGAGAGATGAAAGCATACGAGGTGCATGCGAAAGCGCCTTAACATGCAATAACGTGCGGGAGCGCCTTGAAGTGAATGGAGGGGATATGATGGTTAGGATATGTTCCACAAAAGCACATGTAGGCATTCCGAATCAGGATAGCTTACCATGCAGTTGTAAAAAAGGAGAGTTACGTTATATTTACATTAAGTCAGGATAAAAATTAACGTGTGTTTGGGTATATTGTGACGATCGTGTGCGAATTCGAAGCAGCAAAATTGTGTTAGGTGTGTGATAAACTTGTGTCGCACACTTGGGCACACGAAAGGAACTGAATTTTGTGAAGTTTGTCGGCTTGTGCCGTACAATTGGGTGAAAGGGGTTCAGGTTGTGATCTCGAGACATCGAGACAACCTGGAACCAACGGGGACAGGGTCGTATGCTCTCGAAAAATCGAGACAACCTGCGACTAAGGGAAAGTACGTTCAACTCAGATTGCGAATCGAACTGCACCTCGTGACTACCACACGTGTACGTCAGTGCGTTCTCAAGGGCAGATAACAGTGCGAACTATATTGCATTTTATTAACGAGTTGCTGCAGAAACGGAAGGTAAGATTGCTCTTTACTGTGCAAAACAAAATATTTCGCGACGTAGTTAAAATACTTCTTTACTTCTTTAAATTATCTTCAAATCATTTTCTATCTCTCTGTATCATTATTCTTTTATAATAAAGTATCCTCTTGTCTCGAATTTTCTCTCAATTTCGTGAGACTTTTTATACCGAGGCAAATAACTCTTCTCCGCGGACAATTGGATTAATTGATTGATTTATTTATCTTTTTCCTGTTTCATTAAACTCATTCCCCTGCGTTAAAAATTATTATAGAACTGACATCATTAAATATCTATCACTTCCGGTCTTTTCTTTTATAAAAATAGTAATCACTGTATAATTAAGCATTTAAATAAGGAATTCTATTATTTGTGCTACAACGTAAATAAGTGTGGTGGTTTAATAGTATTACATGTTGAATAATTTATTTTTTTTAATGGTAATAATTTCTATTTATATTTTTTTCCTTCCAATGAATTAAACAAATTTGATAGTGATATTTCTTGTAAACAGTGGTTTCGTCTCGGAATTGTTTGCATGTTGGATTATTTTACGCTTTTCATTTGTTATAAATTTTTAGCAAATTTTTATTTGAATCATTAAGTTGTGCCGTTTGACCTGTCATTTTTTGTTGTTGTAACTTTGTAATTTAAAAACACCCACTTCTGCCCGGATTTTTGGTATCTATAATTTTGTATACGTTTACCTTATAATAATCTTTTTTTCAGATATATTTATCGCCGTTGACGATAATTTTAATTTGCACGAAAGAATTCATAGCATTATTCCCCGGTTTAAGCGTCACAAGGCTCGCCAATCTTAAGTCACCTGTTCACATTAAACACTATACGCTAAGCTCAAAATGTAAATAATACCAAGAAGTTTAAACACAGTGCTCGGATAAAAGTCAAAATAACAATAGGTCTTCCAAATTTACTGACTTTGCTATTCGAGCAGAAAAATTTCAATTGATATTAAAATATTTGTACCGACACTCGCGATCGGAGATAAACAAACAAATGCGTCTAGTCTAGCTGCTTATAACACAATTCATGAAATCCGTACGAGAATCACGTAAGTTTTGATATTTGCCAAATTCGAATTTAAAATATTCAATCAGTTGTTTATTTAGCTTATTGTTAAATATAGAATTATTTATACTACGGACAAATATAGGGCGCAGAATATATTCTTTTCTCCACTCTTATCTAAAAGTAATTAAGTTTTAATTGTGAGTCGTTGAGCATACGTTATATCGTTAAGATATTGGTTAAGCATTTATATGTTTAATTTCGTCAACTTTATAATTTCTTAAGACAATTTTTGAATATTCGTTAAGATACAATGAAAGGTTACTTCTATTTAAGTGTCAAAAATATCGTAAAAAATATAAAACTTATAGATGTTATTAAAAGAAAATTATTTTAAATTACATTACGCAAAGTGTATTACTGTTATTGGTAATATAGTGAAAAGAAAATCCAAACAAAGAACTTTCAAAAATTATCTATTTACTTAGAAATAGTATTGAATAGGATTTTTTATTTTGAAAATAATGAGCAAGGAGGATTCATTAGATGAAGTTAATAAAATAGCTCATTATCAAAAGCGAGCTCTAACAATGATGCAAGTTTACGAATCAGAAGAAAAGGAAGMATTTTATTTGTGGTTAAATAAATTTGAATCTGTAGCAAATATTATCAAAATACCAGAAGATAAATTGGTTGAATTGTTCAATAAAATGGTGGACAATAATTTCCATGAACGTATCAAGAATATTAACCCCCATGTCAATTTCTCTGAACTATCATACGAACAAATAATAAACCATTACCTTTGTTTTTTTCCTCCTGCCGATGAAACGTATTTACACAGAAAGCGTTTTTTCTGTCGTGATCAATATAAACAAGAAACGATAGATAATTATGCTTATTGTTTAGAGAAAATACATAATAATTGTTATTATACATGTTACGTAGATGAAAGATTATGCGACCAATTCACTAATGGAATCCTCGATGATGATATAAAAAAGTATTTAAATAAAATTCCTTACTTATCATTCGATGAAACGGTAAAAAAGGCCATCGAATTTGTAAAAGTTAATAATTATTTACGTACAGCTCTTTTAATGATGAATATTTATAATCCAAAGAAGGAACGTCTTTTTTATAGATGGTTAAATAAATTTGAGTATGTAGCAGATACGATCGGGGTACCAGATGATATAATGATTGCATTCTTCAATAAAATGATAGGTAATAATGTACATAAAGCGATCTTGCAGTCTTATCCTCATATCGACATCTTAAAACTTTCATATGAGGAGAAAGTAAGCCTTTACCTTAATTTTTTTTTTCAATCCAATGAAATTTTCATACACAGAAAACGTTTTAAATGTCGACATCAATTTAGAGGAGAAACGTTACAAAAATTTGCTAATAATTTACGGAAAATATTTTATAAGTGCGATTATCAAACTTGCTTTGAAGAAAGATTATGCGAACAATTCATGGATGGAATCTATGACGATGATTTAAGAAACAATTTAAGTAAAATTTCTAAAATATCATTCAAAACATTGTTAGAAAAGGCAATTAATGAATTTGAAAAAAAAAAAAATATTCACAATGTGAATAATCGCGTGTTTAAATGAACTATGAGCCCTTAAAATATAAACAAATCAAAGAGAATAACCAAACATAAAATTGGCATAAATTTGATTGCCTAATAAGTCCTGAGGATTATTATTTATTTAAAGTAAATCATATATTTTATATTATTTTCTACGAGCACTAGAAGTATTCAAAATTAGTGAGACCATTATATGACCTGTTTCGAAGTAAATAAGGTTAAAAGAAGATGAATGAAGCAAAAATGCTGTGATTTTATATTAGAAATTTATTCCTGAAGGATATCGAAAAAGTTTAAAGATATAGTTTTTAATTTTCACAGTTAAGGAATTATATTTATTTTTAAAAGCAATGGAGATTTGTTCCTTACATTAAATGTTTTAAAGAATGAGATGAGAATATATTATTATTTAAATTTTTTATATGAAATAATATATCGGTATTTATATTAATATATTTTTTTGAATTAAAACATTTTATGATATTTATGTAAGGAGTGATAAATTAAGTGATCCTAACATACAATTTTTAGTTTATACAGTCAAATTAGATCACATCAGAGAGAGAAGAAATAAAAAGTTATTAAGATATTAAAAAGATTGTAAGAGAAAAAAACTCTTATGAAGATAACAATTTAATAAATTTATTTGACTCTATAAAACCATGAAATCGTTAAGATAATAATGTAACTATTGAACTGTCTCTTGTACAAATTTGTAACATTTCATGAATTGTTTATTGTGCTCATTGTTAAAAATATATTATTATTTCTATTAATATATAGTCGCTACCTCTTTTTTTTATTGAACTCTAACTAAATAATAATAACAACGACATTATACACTATAGAAAAACTACTCAACATATTAATATATCTCGAACCGTCAAGACTGAAACATGATTACCCGAATGCCATCACAATCACACCTACAAAAAATTACTCCAATATTAAATCCGTTTGTGTTAAATGTGCACGCAATCACTTAAATGATGAAAAAAGGTGGGGGGTCCTACTTGACCGTCCCCTTGTAAGTAGGGAAAAACTTCTTCTCTACTACGACGCAAATTATGATTAAACACAATTATTGTAATAAAACAGTTACAGAATTCGAATTTAATAAACTAATTTATTATGACCAGCAACAACTGACTGATATAATTTTTTATTCTAAATATAATAACCAGATACGGAGAGTCAGTCATATGAATTGGGTGATTGTACTTATTATAACTAGATACGAATAGGAAGTTACATGAAGATGTAACACTCATATACAATTCTGTATAATATCTAATGCTGCACTTGCCATTAATAAGACTAGTTTACAAAATGTAACTTTTTTAACTGTTGACGTTAATTATATAGTTGGTAATGTTCACTTATAACCTGTTTTTGTCAAATCTAACCTCAACAATATTTTTGTACAGTTTAAATTTACTTATAATTACCAGAAGAAATTGATTGTAAATATTATAAATCAATAAAAAAAAAAAATAATTGTAATTCTATACCCTCGGCCATTTTTATTGCAATATTCAATATGAAATTTCGTGTTTGTTGCAATTTGTTTTTAGCTCGTCTACTTTTTAAAACAATAATGAATCGATCGAGCAAAATTGAGGTTATGCCATATCTTAATTCGCATTTACAAATGAATTCCGTTAGAACGTCGGCATAATGTTTTGAGGACTCGTTTATCATTTGATCTCGAGTTTTGCTGTTTTATATTGTCCTCTTGACGTTAATGTCACGTTTTTGTAAACATAAAAAAATCTAGACACTTAGAAATATACTGAGTATATTTGTCTCAACGAGAGAATGTTTTTTACTTGATAATGTATACATGCACACATTGTAAGAAAAATAAATCATTCAAAATTTCAAAAAAAATTCAAAACATTCAAATATTTCATTCAAAATCATTCTAATAGATCACTATTAGAATAAAGTAAAGAGGGTGAAAAATTAAATGACAATAATATGCATTTACCTCCGCTTTATTATAGCCGAAGATTTTAATATTTATTTTCAAAAAACAATTGTGTCCAAATTTCATTCAAAAATTCGTTTTAATTTTAAATAACAATCCGTAGAAATTTACAACTACATACGATATAACAATTGACAAGGTTTTTTCGAGATGTATTAATAACATTGAGTCATAAACACTTGTTTATTATTTTTGCTATCACAAATTAATAGTATACATGATAAAATGTGAAGACTAAAATGTAACATTGTATATTATATTAATTTTAAAAAGGAATATTATTTTTATATATGTAAAAATATCTATTATTTATTTTTGTATCGATATTACATTACATTAATTAATAGTTAAAGATTAAATTTTATATGCAATATGTAAAAAGCTTCTTTTTACGATTCTCCGCATGTTTTTCCTTATTATTTATTCAAAGTATAATTAAATTTCGAATATTTGTGGATACGTTGTTCGAGAACGTAAAAATAATTCCATAAAATTAACTTAAACATTCCTGTATATCCAAATATTACAGTTAAATCATTTTTTGCAAAAGGAAAAAAAATGTTTATACGATCTAAGCTCATAAAGATAGTCTCTTACAATAAATTTATTAATTTCAATATTTATTAGACAATAAGAATATAAAAAATATATAATAGTTAAAATAAGTGCCTTCGTTCGCAATAAAAAAAAATTATTATTGAAAATCCATAAAAGAAAACTAAATAATTGTTAAAAGGCAACTAACACTGAAAACAGCTATTTTTAATTCTAAAATAGTAAACTAAAAGAATTTTGTGGGATAATGATTAAAGAGAATTTAAACTAAACATATATTGTTTTTCCTTATGCGATTAATCCAAAAAAAATTCAAATCATATCAACGAGACAGCAAAATTACTTTATAAAAAAATATACAATTAATATTATTACTAAGTTTACTCTTAGGGAAGTTGTTTTTTGGACGGGTTTAATTAAGATGAACACTATATTTATCCGTTGAACGTTTCGTCTCTATTTGAGACTTCCTCAGCAACAAAAATTATTTATTATGACATATTATTTTATATACAAATACCAAAAAGATTTAAAAAATTACCATAACAAGACACATAACAGAGGTTACAATAATAATAAAGACATCTAAATTAGGAAACACCAGCTTAGAGGTAACCAGTAGTGTTCGAAAAG